AGCCAAGGGTACGCATGAGTTGGTTAGAGTTCAGGTAAGTCAGCTGGGATGTCTGTGGATGCTCCGGGGGTCTATGTAGTGGATGCTGACGCTGAGGCGGGGAAGAGGCTGCAGAGCAGAAGCCTCAGCGTGCGTGTCACCCTGGGCCCGGTAAGTGACGGGCGAAACACCGCTCCTGCAGTGAGGCTCGGAAGTGTTCATGGAGAATTGCTCCTCGTTAGCAGACCCCGAGGTGCATGAAGGAACAGGAGCATGGCTGGCATGAGGCAGACAAGTCCACTTCTACCTCTGCCACCGTCCAATACGTGAGGTGAGGAAAGTTAGGTGCCTGGTGGTAGGTGATGTAATCCCAGTGCTTTGGGAGGCTGAGGTAGGAGAATCGTAACCTGGAGCCCTGGGCAACTGAGCGACTTGGCAAGATCCTGTTTTAAACTTTTAAAAAATGTTTAAAGGACTAGAGATAATAGCAAGGATGAAGGCCCTAGGTTCAATCCCCAGGACTGAAAAGAACTCGGAAAAGAACCCTACTGTACTGAGGATTCCCTGTACCTGAGGGGAACATGCGAAACCTTCCAGTGTTGCTGCAGGAACCTTTTTGGCATGAACCAGAATGAATCAAACCCGAGCTCAGCAGCAACCCCACCTTGTCCAGGAAAATCAACACAGGTTTTCCAAGTTACGCAATGAGCGAGTTCCTGAAAAGTTGGAGATGAATCAACCTTTTTCCCCAATTCAATGTGTAGGGACATCCGGTGTCAGTTCTGCATAGTGCTGAGGCTACAGGGCATGCACACCCATGCGACGCACCGTCTGCTTTCCCAGCTGTGCTAGCTGCGCACCAAAGCAGCCTGCTTATGGCCTCGCGTGGCAACCCCCCTCAGCAAGCAATGGCCCCTTGAACGCGGGCAGCACGACTTCATTAACATCCTGCTCACATATTTGTCCAGTTGGCTTCCAGCACCAAGGGTTGCCGGCCGTTAATGAACACTGTTCCTGATCGTGGCGGAGCCGCGCCCATCCTTCCCATTTGCTGGGGTGCATAAACCCAGAGTACTTCCTGCATTTTTGTACCTGGTGCGGGGTGTGGTGGTGCATGCCCGTGATCCCAGCACTTGGGAGGCTGAGGCAGGAGGATCAGCATATATTTGAGGCCTGCCTGGGCTAATAGTGAATTCAGGGCCAGCCTGAACTAATAGTGAGACC